AATTGATAGAATGAAAAGTTTTATATGTTGTATTCCTGAGAAAATAAAAAAATGTGTTTACCAAAAAAAAAAAATTCAAAATGTGCCCGCTGGCTCAAAAAGGTGCCCCCCCCCCGGTCAATTACACATTCACACATGCAAGGACCGATGGGGAGGGTGGGGTATATTTAAGGCAGGGGTTGCTTTTGATTAAGGACACTGTATTGGCGGAATATCCCCTTCCCCCACCATTTCTGCACTGAAGACATTGGCACCCGCCCCACCCATGACAAATCAGACCAGAGACAATATTAAGCATTCAAATATAATGTGCACTGTTTCCACAGTATTTCTTCGAATACAGTACATCAAGCTGTAACACGAAGTATCTCTGATGCAAAATCAAGCCAGGCCTCTGTGAAGAAACAGGTTTCATTTGACTCCTGATTTGCACTTTGGATCCATCCAGATTGGGTTTCCAAACACACAGGTTGCAAACTTGCATTCCTTTCTCTGCACAGCTGCGGATCGTCGCCTCTCTCCTACTCACGACTTAAAGGGATGTTTGAAACAAAGCAAGGTTGCCTCTGAGCATGGGTTGAGTGCTTTTCCAGTTGGTCATACAGCTGGGATTCGGGAGAAGGTCTGCGCTATCCCCAAGGGCCCCCTCTCCTTTTGGAAGCCGCTGCCGGCTACAGCTCCCTGGCCTCTCCCTCCTATTCTGGTCTCCTCCGGCTAATAATATTCAGGCTAAGAATACTCACCGGTCCTCGACTCTTGGCAGGGGGATCCCCGAAAGAAAATCTTGGCAGCCTTCTGGAAGAATTTGCTGAGAGGGTTGGGAAGAGTGAACATGGGTGCAGAATGACAGGCCCGGGAGGAGAGCCTGGAGGGAGTGAAACCCTGGTGGGGAGACACAAAAAGGGGGGGGGAGAAACTGGTTATTTCCCCCAAACAAGTTCCAGGTTGCTGTGCAATGCTCTAGAACACGCCAGCGGCTCAAGGTACAGAGTTGAGCCACAGAAAATGGACAAGTGTCGCAGCTTCTGTTTCAAATGAAACGTCACGTTGTCTTGGAAGAACCACTTTGAGTACTGCACTGGGCTAGTATCCGGGAGACCCAGGTTCGAATCCCCCACTCGTGCCATGGAAGCTCGCTGGGCGACCTTGGGCCAGTCGCACTCTCTGAGCATAACCTACCTCACAGGGTTGTTGTGAGGATAAAACTGCGGAGAGCCACTTTGGGAGAGCACCGGGGAGAAAGGCAGGGTGCAAATGAGCCAACTAAATAGATAAAAACAAAAGCATTTTCCAAATGAAATTAAGAAGAGGAGGGAAGAAAGGGAGAGCGGGGCCAGGGGTCATTTCCTGCAGGAGCGCACAGGAGTGGCGCTCCGGCAGCAAAGAGCCCAGGGGGTGGGCACATGCAACAAGCCCCACCCCCTGCTCCCAGCAGCCCTCAGTCAGAGCAAGAAGCAGACAGAAGCAGACAGGTAAATTGTAGAGCCCCCCCCAGCCCTCGGTTCCAAAACAGTCCAGTGGCAGCTTTAAGACCAAGTTTTATTCAGGTACAAGCTCTCCCTCCGTTGCGAGGACAGATCTGCACCCCCCCCAATAGCTAGCAATCCAAAAGAGTCCAGTGGAGCCTGAGCGGTGGGTGTTGCCTTCTGACACACTTCTGGTGATGTCAGGGTGTGTGTGGCATATGCAAATCAGTTATGCTAATGAGTTATGCTAATGAGCTCCTGCACCTCTTTTTCTACGAAATGACCCCTGAGCGGGGCTAAACGGGAAGGGTTCGCACTGAGTGCAGGAAGGTGGGCAAAGGAGACTGAGACGTACATGAGTTAGGCAGCCATGAAGGAAAGAAGGAATGATTTACATATGGGCAGCAGGCCTGTTGCCAGGAATTTCTAAGTCAGGGGGCATTTTAATTCCTCGGGGGGGCCCTAGGGCCCTGGCTAATTTGATAAACCACATAAATTAGTCTGCTCTGGAGCCATCCTTTCTGAGCTAAGACAAAAATGTGTGAGCCGGGGTCTAAAAAACTGTGAGCTAGCTCACACTAACTCAGCTTAGAGGGAACACTGGTCACATATGGGCAGCAGGCCTGTAGCCAGGAATTTCTAAGTCAGGGGGCATTTTAATTCCTCGGGGGGCCCTAGGGCCCTGGCTAATTTGATTAAAAGTAATTTAATTACCGGCTTCTCGGTCTGGTGCTCCCCTCCACCCACCCCAGCTGCCAGCCTGCCTGGTCACCTTTCCCCAATGTAGAAAAGATGTTCTGGAGGTTGCGACCAGGATAAGGGGGAGTGGGGAGAGAAGGCACCGGAAAGGGGGAAGGCTAGGAGAACCAGCAGCACAGGGCGAGTTTGTGGCGGCCACCCTATCTTGCCAGAGAGTTGGGGGGGCTGGGCTGAAAGGAAGTTGGCGGGGAGCCTTGGCAGGAAGTCGGCGGGAGGGCAGGCCCCGGAATGCCCCACCGTAGCTACGGGCCTGATGGGCAGTCACAGTGGCACCAGGATGCCAGCGCCTTTTGCAGAGTCTGTCTCCGGGCTTTCTCTGCAACGAGAGCTAGAAACTTGCTTTCTGCCCCCTCCGTTCAAAAATTATGAAGGGGAGGCCATGGCAACTGGTAACTTTATTATAAGCTCAAGTGGAACATCAGGAGGACTCCTTGAGCAGAACTGGCGGCTAGCAAGTGCCCAACCGAAGTGACAACCGCTCTTCTTCAAAGAATTCCAGCATGTCTAGAATGGTGTGGCGAGCTGGGAGAACCGATGTACTTGACCCATCTATCTTCTCCAGCATTGCAAGAGATCGGCAGCGCCTCTAAAGCGGTGCCCATCTGGGATTTACATGACCTGGGACTGGCTTTATTTGGACTGGCAGTTGGCAGCTAGCTATAAACTATAACAGGTTCAGCGGGGGGATTAGTACATCCCATTAAATCTGGTTTAAATTAGGCTTTTATATACTACAACAGAATTATATGGATAGATTGGTTTTACTAAGCCACGGGGAAGGGGAGGAGGAGAGGTCCATAAAGTTGAGCCCAGTACTTTGAATCGCTGGGTTATATGCAATGCCCCCTCTAAGCTGCGGAGTCTTGTGAGCAAAGATTCTACTTTGTGAGCTGCTGGCATTAAAGCTGTGAGCGAGCGATTTGGCTGCTGCATAAATTAGTTTGCTCTGGAGCCATCCTTCATGAGCTAAGACAAAAATGTGTGAGCCGGAGGCTAAAAACTGTGAGTCAGCTCACACTAACTCGGCTTAGAGGGAACACTGGTTATATGGAATCTGATCCAGCCAGGTCCTATCCCCAAAGATCAATCCTAGCAGCCTAGACAGCAATGCGCCGCAAGCAGAGAGAACACGCGAGACCCAAAACACCTCCTGTTCATTCTCAACTCTAGTCAAGCAACCATTCCCAGCAGGCTGCTGGATTTTGACACCTCTAATGGCTCCAAAAAAATAATAATCTTGTGCAATCATCTTGGTATTCCTGTGCATCTCCTGAACCCATTCCCATGACAGCTCACCATGCGGGGTCCGGCAAGCTGACATGTCCACTATCACTCCGCCCCCATACCTGCGAAAAAAAGACATGGTTGAGGGTCTCCTCCAGGCTAGGCCGGGCAGCCGGGTCAGGAGCCAGTAACTTTCCAATCAACTCCCGGGCACTGGGCGAGAGGTGAGTGGGCATTGGATAGCGGCCCTCCCGGATGCACTGATACATCTCCTGCTTGTGCGTGATCTCAAATGGGGAGCAGCCGGTCAGGGCCGTGTACCTGGGGGAAGAAAGACAGCCAATCAGAGGTATTTCTGCTTGGATCTACTGTGTGGCAGTAGAAAAGAGCAAGAGTCCAGTAGCACCTTAAAGACTAACAAAATACGTGGCAGGGTATGAGCTTTTGTGAGTCACTGCTCACTTCTTCTGCTACAGCTAGAATGGGAGTCCATCTGTCCTATCTATTGGAAAGCAGAGTGATTTCAGACGTGGAATTACATTAGCAGTCAAACGACAACAGCAGGTGAATAATAAGAGCAGGTGTGATTGGATTTAGGTGAGATATGCAGAGTGGTAATAGGTGTGGAGAGATCAGCACTGGTAATGAGACGGGGAACCTAGGTCTTGATTCAGTCCCGGTGGGTACATTGTCTTGAGCTTCATTACCAACTGCAGTTCAGCAGTCTCTCTTCCTAATCTCCCTTTGAAATTCCTTTGTAAGAGAACGGTGTGGCAGAGTATGGTATCGCTGGTGTCCATCAGATGTGGACAGATCCTTTCAGCTATGCACAGGTTCTAAATTCACAGCATGTGCACTTGAAATGCTAAGGTGGGGATCGGCTTTCTTGAATTCTGCTGCCAGGACATCTTCCGCACCCAGGTTCTGCCATACTGCTTTGGCAACCCTTACACTGGAAATTCTGTCTTACTTGGCTACCTTCTGCTGGTGTGCATAAATGCAAGCTTTTCAGAGACACAGAAATCTTCAGCATGATGGAGAGACATGACACTGTCAGCTATTTATAGGCCCAAATATTTTTGTCTGGTCTCGTCAGACAAACTATACATCTCCCCCCTGCATAGGCATGCCAGCCTCCAGATGGGACCTGGGGATCCCCTGGAATTACAGCTCATCTCCAGATTGCAGAGGTCAGTTCCCCTGGAGAAAATGGAAGCTTTGGAGGGTGGGCTCTGTGGCACTGTATCCTACTGAGGTCCCTGTCCTCCCCAGGCTCCATCCCCAAATCTCCAGGAGTTTCCCAATCTGGATCTGGCAACCCTACCACCACACCCATCTCCTGCCAGCAGCCAGGGGAGCCTTATGTCTTACATGCCAGCAGAAAGATACAGACAACTGGGAATAACTCAGCCAGTTTATCAGAAAGCTCTCCTACGGATGGGTTGGCTGGCCCAGCAGAGCTTGTCTTTTGCTTCCGAGTTACTCACATGATGCAGCCCAGCGCCCAAACGTCCGACTTGAATGAGTGCCCCTTTTTAGCAATGACTTCGGGAGCCAGATAGTTGGGGGTACCACAGACCACTCTGTAGAAGTGGGGAAAGGGGGGACGGGCGGAGAGTGAAAACAGCAGGTAAGTCCACTGAAGGGAAAAGACGAGGAATGCTGTGCGAGCAAGAGGATTAGGTTTAGCTTCTTATTGTCTTGTGGCAGGAGGTTCCAGGGGCGAGAGACAAATTCCAAAGGTGCATACCTGCCTAAAGCTGGAAAAGCAAGTGGAGGATTAAAGGCAAAGGGGGACAGGCCCTGCTTTGTGGAACCAGTTGAAGCCAATTTCTGGGATCTGACAGTCCTCATTCAAGTCACAAGGAACGCTGTCTGGTTTGCATATGAGTCACAATTCTCCTTCAGGGTTTTCTTTGTATAGTCTTAACTTCAGAGACTGGGAGAAAAAGGAACTGTGCCCCCTTTTGGTTTCAAAGTGTTCCGATTTTGAAACATGGGACTTTGTCCCTTCCAGTATGACAGCCAGCATGGTGTGTGGGTTAGACAGACTAGGATCCGAGAGACCCAGGTTAGAATCCCCACTCTGACATGGAAGCGTGCTGTGTGACCTTAGGCCAGTCACATACTCTCTGCCTAACCTACCTCACAGGGTTGTTGTGAGGATAAAATGGAGGAGATTGATGGAAACTGGCTTGGGTCCCTGCTGGGTATATATCTATATTAATCAAAATTAAAATAAACAAATTCCAAAAACACACACTCCACCTTTCACAGCACTCACCCCCGCCTCCTGTTGGCCTGTTCCTCTCGGGCCGCCAGCCCCAAGTCTCCAATCTTCACCTGCATGTTTTTTGTGACGAAGAAGTTACCTGGGAATGCAAAGGGTTAGGGTTGTCATCAATGTTCCCTCTAAGCCATGGAGTCTCATGAGCAAAAATTCTACTCTGTGAGCTACTGGCATTAATGTTGTGAGCAAGCGATTTGGCTACTGCATAAATTAGTTTGCTCTGGAGCCCTCCTTCCTGAGCTAAGGCAAAAATGTGTGAGCTGGAGGCTAAAAGACTGTGAGCTAGCTCACACTAACTCAGCTTAGAGGGAACACTGGTTGTCATATCATGCTACCCAGAAAGGCTCTAAATTTTCATCTTCAGTACAGACTAAACATCAGACAGCAATTCCCAGGTGAAGTTGCATGACTCTGTGCCACCTATTAGATTACTGACTAAGCTGTTCTACGGGAAACCAGAATGGGAAATTGGAATATCTGAGAAGCAGCATAGTACAGTGGTTAGAATATCGAACTTGGATCTGAAAGAAGTGTGCTTGCACACGAAAGCTTATACCTTGAGTCAAACTTTGTTGGTTTTAAAGGTGCCACTGGACTCGGACTTTGTTCGACCTGGAGATCAGTTGCAATAGTGGGAGATCTCCAGCCACCACCTGGAAGTTGGCAGTCCTTAGGGCTCCAGGTCTTCCCCCCCAGCCACTGACAGGGGATGGGGGTAGAATTGCCAGATCCAGGTTGGGAAACTCCTGGAGATTCGGGGATGGATCCTGGGGAGGACAGGGACCTCAGCTGGGTACAATGCCATAGAGTCCCCCCTCCACAGCATCCATGTTCTCCAGGGAAACTGATCTCCGCAGTCTGCAGATGAGCTGTAATTCCGGAGGATCTCCAGGTCCCACCTGGAGGCTGGCATCCCTAGCAACCCTAGATGGGAGGCAGGGAAGCACCCTCAAAGATGCGAGAGCTCTCTGTGTGTATGCATGCACGCATCCTTGTAAACACGGGCAGACAGAATCCTTCTCAACGCCCCCCTCCTCACCTCTCTGCTTCTGTTTGATGCTCACTGTGCATGCAACACGTGCGATGACAGGCTGAGGGCTGGGTTGGCGTGCATGTGAAAGAGCGAGATTCTTGCAGGACGCAGGCCCAATTAGAGCTGCATTCTCCAACGGAGTCCTGTGCCCAGAGAGCCCCCGAGGTCCCGCCTGCAATAGTGGGATGAGCTCACCTCGCAGGCATTCCCCACTGCTCAGCCCCGAGACAGCCGGCTGGCCGGCCTTGCGGCTGTGTATTTTTAATCCCTGCTCCAAAGCCCAGCCTTGCGAGAGAGAGCCTGGGATGAAGGGCGAATTTGGGGCAGTGGGTGATTAACTCCCCTGGCGCTGTTTGGCAGTCCCTCGTTCACCAAGACTCTGATTTCTGCACTCACGTACAAGCCAGTAGAGACCCAGTATCTCTGGACGAGTCAACCAGGGGGCATAACAGAAGCTTTAACAACAGCCACACATACCCATCCTCGGCATGCGCTACCACTGGTCTGGCCCCAGGGTCCCCAACCTATGTGAGCCTGTGGGCACCTTTGGAATTCAAACACAGGGTGGTGGCTGCAGCCACAAAATGGCTGCCACAGGAGGCAGGGCTAGAGCTGACAGTCGTCCCCCCTCCCGCCCGCCACTGGCAGGGGATGGGTGGGTAGGGTTGCCGGATCCAGGTTGGGAAACTCTTGGAGATTTGGGGATGGAGCCTGGGGAGGGAAGAGACCTCATTGGGGTACAATGCCACAGAGTCCACCCTACAAAACACCCATCTTTTTCCATATCAAGTGTCTCTGCCGTCTGGAGATGAGCTGTAATTCCAGGGGGTCCCCAAATCCCGACTGTAGCTGACACCCCTAGGCAGGGCCAATCACAAAATGGCTGCCACAGGAAGCAGAGTCGCATGCACACAGGAAGCCCAAGTGCAGGGGAGAAGCAGGGTAAACTGGGAAAGTGGGGTGAGAGAGAATAATACAAACGCTGTGGTGGCAGCTGCCACCGAGACAATGTTATTTCAATCTGCACAGCCAATCAGATCTTCAGGGGCAATCAGAAGCCTCCTGGGCAAGAGCCCCACCTGGCCCCACCCACTTTCTAAAAATACTTGGTGGGTGCCAAGAAGGGGCACTGTTTTGGGGTCCAGCCAATCCATCGATCTTAAACTCCAGCCTGTTTTCCATTTGCTGGACACCCCTGTCTCTCCTTTCCTTCGAACCCAAGCATCCTGGTCCTCCACTTAAGGCAGCAATTATGTCAGCCCTACTGAAACTTGGGGTGGGGAACTTCTTTCAAGTCAGCTTGTTTGGGATTGGCTCACCAAAGTAAACCGCCTCCTGTCCAGACCTGTCTTCAGACCGTGCTACCTACTCAGTTTGAGGTCCCGGTGGATGATCCCTTGCTGGTGGATATACTGCAGGCCTGAGATAATTTGCTTCAGGTAGAAGCGGACCTCCGGCTCCGTCAGCGTCTTCCGGGCTTTCAGGATGTGGGCCAAAGACTGCAGGTGGTGGGGAGACGCAGAAGAGATAAACAGTGCTGATTTCCCAGAATGCATTACGGCACCTGCAACACATTCCAAGCTTGGGATCCTGGATTTCAAAAGGACCCTGAAAGGGCAACCAAGCCCCATATGGCACTGCAGGAGATCAGGCTGGGACACTGCAGAGCTAGAGAGTTCCACTCAGGAACATAACGAAGCTGCTTTATGCAGAGTCAGGCCATCGGTCCATCTGTCTCCTCCAACAGGGAGAAGCTCTCCAGGACCTATCTAACACTGCTGTCTATCTTTGAATAGGGAGGGATAGAACCAGAGACCTTCAGGTACTCTGCTGCAGAGTTATGGGCCCTTTCCCAAATTCTACCCTGGCCTGGATGGCCCAGGCTTCCCCAATCTCATCAGATCTCAGCAGCTACATAAGAACATAACAGAAGCCATGTTGGATCAGGCCAATGGCCCATCCAGTCCAACACTGTCACATAGTGGCAAAAAAACCCAAACAAACAGGCACCATCAGGAGGTCCACCAGCAGAGCCAGAACTCCAGAAGTCCTCCCACTGTGACCCCCCAAGCACCAAGAATACAGAGCATCACTGCCCCAGTGTTCCATCTACACCTTGTGGCTAATAGCCACTGATGGACCTCTGCTCCGTATGTTTATCCATTCCCCGCTGGAAGCTTGTCTATGCTTGTAGCTGCCACTACTTCCTGTGGCAGTGAATTCCACGTGTTAATTACTCTTTGGGTGAAGAAATACTTCCTTTTATCAGTTCTAAACCTATTGCTCATTAATTTAATTGAATGAGTTCTCGTATTGTGAGAAAGGGAGAAAAGTACTTATTTCTCTACCTTCTCTATCCCATGCATAATTTTGTAAACCTCTGTCATGTTACCCCACAGTCATCATTTCTCCAAGCGAAAGAGTCCTAACCTCTTTAACCTTTCTTCAAAGGGAAAGTATTCCATCCCCTTAATCATTTCAGTTGCCTTTTTCTGCACCTTTTCCAATTGCTATAATATCTTTTTTTAGGTGCAGTGACCAGAACTGTACACAGTATTCCGAATGAGGCCACACCATCCATTTATACAGGGGCATTATGGTCTGGTCCATGGGGTCGCGAAGAGTCGGACTTGACTGTGCGACTGAACAACAAAAATTATGATACTGGCTGATTTCTTTTCAATTGCCTTTCTAATAATCCCCAGAATAGCATTTGCCTTTTTTTGTTACTGTCTCACACTAAGCTGACATTTTCAGTGAGTTATTTACCATGACTCTAAGATCTCTCTCCTGATCAGTCTCCGCCAGTTTAGATTTGGATTCTATTTATAGTTAGGATTTTTGGTACCAATGTGCATTTCTTTGCACTTGCCCACCCCATTTGCCATGTTGACACCCACTTGACCAGCCTTGACAGATCCCTCTGAAGCACCTCACAATCCTCTCTCATTCTCACCACCCTGAACAACTCAGTGTCATCTGCAAACTTCACTGCTTACTCCCAACTCCAAATCATTAATGAATAAGTTTAAAAGCACTGGATGCAGTACTGAGCCCTGTGGTACCCCACTGCTTACCACCCTCCACTTTGAAAACTGCCCATTTAGACTCACTCTCGTTTCCTGTTAATGAACCAGTTTTTAATTCACAAGAGGACTTGTCCTCTTATCCCGTCACTGCTGAGTTTACTTAGGAGCCTTTGATGAGGAACTTTATCAAAAGCTTTCTGGAAGTCAAGGTAAACAACATCTATTGGGCCACCCTTGTCCATATGCTTGTCCACCCCCTCAAAGAGCTCTAACAGGTGAGTGAGACAAGATCTTCCCTTACAGAATCCATGCTGATTCCTCCTCAATAGCTTTTGTTCATCTATGTGCCAATTAATTCTATCCTTAATAACAGATTACCAATTTACCTGGTATCGACGTTACCTAAGGAGGGTCAGCCCTGGTTAGTACTTGGATGGGAGACCACCAAGGAAGTCCAGGGCTGCTAAGCAGAGGCAGGCAGTGGCAAACCACCTCTGCTCATCTCTTGCCTTGAAAACCCCATGAGAGGTCACCATAAGTCAGCTGCAACTTGACAGAACTTTCTACCACCAACACTCCAATTCTAGCCTGCCGACCTCGCAAAAGTCCTCCTCTGCATTGACCCAGCCTACCTCACAAGGCTGTTGTGAGGCTAAACGCCAGTTCCCTGAGGGAAGGACTTGGTACAACTATGCTCCTTCCTTCTTGTTATTACCTGCTTTCCACTGTGGTACATGACGTTGTGGCGCACAAGATGCCCCCCTTTTCGTGGGCCAAGCCTACCCAGCAGGGCTGCTATGAGGTTAAACCCTGGCTCCAAATGCCCTGGCAGAAGGACTCCATACATGCTCTGTCCAGCTAATTCTGCTCTTCCTCTTTATTCCTCTTTCTTCTCTGCTTCCTCCTTTAGAAGATCAGGTTCAAAGGGCCACAGGTAGGAGTAGCACGGGGATGAAATTTCAGCCACGCATATAAGTTGTTCCACTGGTGGGCATGAACAAAACTCCCTCGGCTAAGACCCCTCAGTTTCTTGCTTCTCACCTTTCGGCTGCAGTATTCCGGTACCATGTAGATATTTTCCTGGTCAGCAAAATGTCGGTGGAAGCCCACAACGTTTCTGTGCTTGAGCTGGCTGTGCAGTTCAATTTCACGTTCAACCTGCAAAGAAAGGAAAGGAGAGGGGCGAATGAAATCTTTTGCAGAAATAGATGCACGCGTGCACACCCTGCTGAGAAGTCACGGGGCGCAGGTGCTGGAGTCAGCGAGAGTGCTGAAACGATGCAGAGGAAAGTCCGTGAAGGACAAACACCTCCAATGAGAGAGAGAAAAGCAACAGAGGTATTGGGTTGTTTTCAAAAGGTGAAGAAAGCACACCAACTCCTACTTCCCTGTGGCTCACCCTCACTCCTTCTCACTGGTCGGTACCTTTCTTAGGATGATGAGAAAGCCCTGTCAGATCAGACCTAGGTGGGATCTGTCTTGGCCAGCGTTTTGTTTCACACAGTGATCTGCTGAAAGAGCAGATTCATCCATTACAAAACCCTGGTGTCCCTCACATTTCTCTCCCAGACCTGTCAACCAAGTCTGCTCTGAGAGTTCCATGCATGGAATTTAATTCCCACATGCATGGGGGGAGGATTTGGAACAGAACTGCTGGGAAAGGGGGCTTAAACCCTTCCATCTGTGCCATTTCACTGACATTTTTATTTGTTTATTTAAAATATGTATTAGCCACCTTTCTTTCTTGCAGAGCTCACGGCAGTTTACAATATTAATAAAACATATAAAATAGATTACATTTTTTTACAAAATCACAATTTAGGACAGCTTTACTCAAATGCAGCTCTAAATAAAACCACCCTCAGCTACCTCCTACATGTTGAAAGTGAGGGGGGCAGGTGCACCTCCATGGGGAGGTTGTTCCATAATTCTGGGGCTGCCACCAAAAAGGCCCTCTCTCGTGTACCCACTGAATAGGGTTGCCAGGTCCCCTCATCGCTCCGGCAGGGGGATTTAAGAAGCGTTCTGAGGGTGGGTGGGGATGTTGTGTGGGGGTATGCTCTGGTTAGGCTTACCAAGTACCGGCGGGGGATCTGCGTGTCTTGGCAGGATCCCTGCCGCGGGGACAGTGACACGCGTTGCACCTGCCGTCACCAGGATGTAGCGTCACATCCTGGCGACGGCGGGTGCAACGCGTGTCGCCGTCCCTGCGGCAGGGATCCTGCCAAGACACGCAGATCCCCTGCCGGCACTTGGTAAGCCTAGCTCTGGTACTTGGGCAAAACTCTATGGTTTTTTCAACCTCAAACCGCAGAGTTTGCCCAAATACCAGAGCATTCCCATGTGACCCTACACAATGAGGTCACTTCCAGGTGATGTCATTGCAGTGTGGATGTTGCATGGCAACATCCCTGTTTGGGGGCAGGAAACGACGACTGAGGGGTGATATGATTGAGGTTTATAAGATTATGCATGGGAAAGAGCAGGTAGAGAAAGAGGTACTTTTCTTCCTTTCTCACAATACAAGAACTCGTGGGCACTCCATGAAATTGCTGAGCGGTCGGGTTAGAATGGATAAGAGGAAGTACTTCTTCACCCAAAGAGTGATTAACACTTGGAATTCACTGCCACAGAAAGTGGTGGCGGCTACAAGCATGGACGGCTTCAAAATGGAATTAGATAAGCATATGGAGCAGAGGTCCATCAGTGGCTATTAGCGACAAGGTATAGATAGGGGCTCTGGGGCAAGTGATGCTCTGTCATCTTGGTGCTTGGGGGGGGGTCAACAGTGGGAGGGCTTCTAATGTCCTGGCCCCACTGGTGGACCTCCTGATGGCACTGGTATTTCTGGCCACTGTGTGACACAGAGTGTTGGACTGGATGGGCCTTTGGCCTGATCCAACATTGGCATCTCGTATGTTCTTATGTTCTTATGTAGCTGGTCCATGGCGGGGAAAAGCCCCTGAAATCAGGGGATTCCCCTGCCCAGACCTGGGGCCTAACAAGCCTACCATTGAACAAGCTTGTTTGATTGACAGAATGGTCAGGAGGGCCTCTCCTGCAATCTTAATTCCTGGGCAGGAACATTTGGGAGAAGAAACCCTGGTCCCAAGCCATGAAATGGTCAGGAAATTACTTGGGGAGATGTATGTATAATGATGGGCTACAGTTATGTTTCTACAGCAGTGGCTCTCTGAGGGTATTTCAGGTGGGGAAAAGGGAGCGGGAGGAAGGGTTAAGCCTCCCTCTCCCCACGTGCCACAGATCTAACCCAAGCTGGACCCCCACGTGCTTGGGAGTTAAGTTCCAAGCATGGGACTTCCCAAACATACCTGTCTACAGGATCTGTGGAAGACTCAAGGATTCTGTGACACATGACCTGGACCGATGAGGCCTGAGGGCAACAGATTTACAGTCTGTCCCATTTTATTCTCTAAACCAATGCAATCCAAAATCTGGCTGTCACTGGTCCACTCTGTGGCCACTGTGAGGCACCTGTGCACGATGTTATGCGATACGACTTACTGCCGGGAAAGTGTCTCTAAGACTGTGATCTCACTCTCCAGATCTCTGTTATAAGGGGGACAGACTTTGGTTATTCAACAGTGGGGAAAGTTCACTCTGCACGACACGTACACATAATCTTCTGTATGAATACTTTGCCTGCTTTGAGATTGAGCCCTGGTGCTGCGGAAACTGAAACAAAGCGCTGCCTGTTTCACAGCTTTTGACTCCAGAGCAGAGGTCATTTTGGGGGGGATCGCGGGGGATCGCAGTTCCCCCGGGTGAGGTACGGGGGGCAGGGCACATGACGAAGCCCCGCCCCCTGCTTCCGGCCGCCCCGCTTCCGGCCCCCATTCAGCCAGGAGGAGGCAGGAGAAGAGGGAGGGTAAGTTGTTTCCCCCCTGCCTCTCCCCACCCCTGCCTGCCTGGGGCCAGGGAGGGCCTTCACGGGGCTTCCTTGCACTCCCGCCGGCCTTGCAGGTCCACCGCCGGGCCCCTCATGGGGCTCGGCAGTGGAGCTGCAAGGCCGGCGGCCGGGACCGTTGGGGGTGGGGTGTGTGGCCTTATGACACACTTCCGGTGATGTCAGGGGGGGTGGCATATGCTAATGAGTTATGCTAATGAGTTCCCCTAGCTCTTTTTCTACGAAACGACCCCTGCTCCAGAGGATGGAAAAGGGGCCGTCAGATAAGAATATGGCCCCAAATTAAGACGGACTGGCAGATCACGGCAGGGAATCTGGGTTGACATCCAGCATATTAAACAGGGATATGTGGCTCCCTCAAGCACTTAGGAGACATCCAGCTTAGGCAAAGATGGAGCTGATCTCTATCTAGACATGTGGATTCCAGTCTGTCAGGCCCCAAATACCAGCTCACCTTCCCCCTGTTGTCCAGTCTGGAGACCCGGGACTGAGAGACGACCTTCACAGCATAAATTTTGTTGGTCGATGTGTCTGTGAACTTGTAGCATCTTCCAAATGCCCCCTGTGACAAAAAAAAGGGTGAGTGGGGTTATGCAGGAATCAGGCCTTTGTTGGGAAACCGAAGCGGGGTGCAGAAAACCGAAGGCGCTTAACTGCAGTTACCATTGGCAGTCATATGAGGTTGGTGGAGAAATGGGCAAGCTTTGGAGTTTCACAGAATGCCTTTGCTAGGCAGAGGTCTGTGATGAAGACTTCTGTGGCACTCCAAAACTAACACAACCAAAGACGATTACCAAAAATATTAGTCCAATGGAAACATATTCATTTCCTCATTTAGTTTTGAGTCCTGTAGCACCTTAGAGACCAACAAGATATTGGGGTTATAAGCTAATAATAATTAATAATCATCATATGGTTATGTGTGTAGTATAACCAGGAGATCCGAAGATTGTCTGGCAGCCTGAAGTTCTAGCCCTTTCGCGTTGGGGATCTAGACTTACTTTTTGGGCTGAGAGAGTTTTGAAAGAGCCGTGACTGACCCAAGGCCACCCAGCTGGCTTAATGTGGAGGAGTGCATAATCAAACCTGTTTCTCCAGTTTAGAGTCCATCTCTCTTAACCACTACACATCAATCTGGCTCTCAGGTTATACGCTTTTGACAGTCAAAGCTCCCTTCCTCAGATCTGACGAAGGGAGCGTTGAGTCTCAAAACACCCCCAAAATCTTGTTGGTCTCTATGGTGCTACAGGCCTTGAATCTAGCTGTTCGACTGCAGATCAACATGGCTGTCAGTTGGTGTAGTGCTTAAGAGCAGTGGACTCTAATCTGGAGAACCGGGTTTGATTCCCAGCTCTTCGACATGCAGCTGCTGGGTGACCTTGGGTCAGTCAAAGTTCTCTCAGAGCTGTTCTCTCAAGAGCAGTTCTCTCAGAGCTCTCTCAGCCCCACCTGCCTCACAGGATGTCTGTTGTGGGGATAGGAAGGGAAGGTGGTTGTAAGCCGCTCTGAGACTCTGAGTGAAGGGCAGGGTATAAATGCAATCTCCTCCTCCTCCAAAACAATCTTCATTTCTTCATTGTCTATTAAATAATTACTCCTATGGAGAAATGGAGGGAGACCCCTCCCTCCAACTTGAATTATGTTAAGGGGGGGGGGTCCACTGGAATAGCTTCTGATTTTTTCTTTCCCTGCAAATCTGGCAAAGGGATTTAATATTAACAACAACTGGAGCTTGCTCTATCCTGAAAGCACACGGAAGGTGATGATAACCCTAAAACAGCCAGATGAAAGCAAATTAAATTTGAGAATGTGTTAGTGCTCAAAAAACAAACCAACAGCCTCTTCCGAGGGTTACTCCCTAGTTACAAGACCCAGATACTCTGTGTAACAATGTAGTCCATCTTAAAAGGAAAAAAAATACGTCCAGCATCCATAGTTAGTGATGGTTCTTACCAGTGCTCCCTCTAAGCTGTGGAGTCTTGTGAGCAAAAATTCTACTTTGTGAGCTACTGGCATTAAAGTTATGAGCGAGCGTTTTGGCTACTGCATCAATTAGTTTGCTCTGGAGCCATCCTTCCTGAGCTAAGACAAATACGTGTGAGCTGGAGGCTAAAAAACTGTAAGCTAGCTCACACTAACTCAGCTTAGAGGGAACACTGGTTATGCATCAGATGGAGTAGGCTCTAGTTGACATTAATATCTGCCACAAGAAATGCAGTAGGCTTCAAGGTACCAAAAGACTTTTTGTTGCTGTGTTTGTGGCAGATTCGGTACCGCTCTGCAACTAGTTCCAGTTGTCCCTATTCCTACAGCTTCTTTTTCATAATTGGTGCCAGTGGCATCAGGGTGCAGGAATGGAAATGACAGGCTCCCTGCCCCATGGAGTTTACAATCTACATTAAGTGGCCATAACAGGACACTGAGAGTCTGACTGGATGTTGCAAACCAAACGCGTTCACCACAGGGATGAATTCCAGGTGGCAACTCATGAGTAAACGCATAGCAGGGCCCAATTTTGCTCAGGACTATGCTGCAGGAGAAAACGGAATTCCTGTCTTCTCCTTGTGCTGTTTTCGGAGGCCGAAACAGCCCAGGGGGCCACAAATGGGCAGAAGGTATTATTTGCTCTGTTGGGGGCCACCACATGCACTCAGTGCTTGTACATGCTGGCTCCCCACAGAGCAAATAACTCCCACACGTATACACAGCCTCTTGGGTGTCTCGGCCACCGCAAACAGCACAGGGGCAAAGGCAGGAATTCCTCCATCTCCCGTGCAGCAATCCTGATCTGAATCGGGCCCTGCTGAGTTTCCACCAGGAACTAGCAACTACGGTATAACTCCCCGTGGTAAACTTGTGCAGTTTGTAACATCTAGTTAGTCTCTGAAGTGGGGGGGGGGGAGATCAGAGATTGGAAAGGGAATTGTTTTTAATCTTCTCTCGTGACTTGGAGAGCTCGCACGAGGTCCTTCTTGGGCTATTTGCCCTGTAAGCAGCTTTCCACAGCACAAACCGTGCCATCACTTTTCTGAGCTTGGAGACTGGCTCTGGCTGGTTGTGTGTGACAGAATTTGGTTCACTTGAGAATGCCTGGGGTCCTGCGTGAACTAAAGACTGCAGAAACAGGGCTTTGTGCAAACTGGGGGCTGCCATGCCTGACCTGATCCCAAAGCAGTTCTCAGCTCTGGCAATATGGCTCGAACACCCACTCTCTGCCCCCTGCCTGATCCCTTCAGATTCATACAGTCACGCACGTTAAAAAATAATTTAATTCCCGAAATGTAATAAACAGACCAAGTCATTGTAATGGGCTTGGGTCTCCAGCCACAACCTGGAGGTTGGCAACCCTATCATAAACCCCATACCCATTCCCCCTGTCCCAGATTTGAGTCTCGTATGTGGACATTAATGCATTTGAACATGAAATTCTGCTAAAGGCCATCTTACAATCTCTGCTGACATGTTCTTTTTAGGCCCCATTCCTTGGCTTATATACTAATTCTGGGATAATGCACTTTCAGTGCGCTTCAGTGGCAATTTGCAAGTGCATTTTCCTGAGTGAAGCAGGAAAATCCACCTACAAACAATCACTAAAGTGCATTGAAAGTGCATTGCAAGGGAAGCATTAGTCCAGTGCAACCAAAATTAAGAAGCTTGATGCCATCTTCAGAGACTCACAGATTTTTGTGTGCGTGTGCGTGTGGCAGAAGCGTGCGTGGATTAGGACCCACTTTGTTAGCTGCATGACGTGTGTATCCTCAGCTAAAACCACTGTCTAGAGTGGGGCCA